CTCGTAGATGAGTAGATTTCTATTGAATTTATCGTTTATGCCGCCATCACTCAATACTTTTTAAATGTTTTGTAACTGTTTAAGGTAGTTTTCACTCAGTTGACTGGTAATCGGAGAAGAATGAGCAGCCGATGAGTTTGATCATCTCAACAGGACCGCGTTGCGGACATTATGACGGAAAACCGCGGTTCAAATCACTAGACCGGTCTAGAATCGACATCAACGACCCCAAGTCCATTAAATCTAATGCTCAGCGACCCTCATCATCTGCAGAAGTGCTCCTCATGCTCCAATTAATAACTGCTCACTCAGAGACTCGATGGCCGAACACACCACTCCCCCATTATGCGTGAACGTAGGTAAGAGAATCAACATCCGCGGAGCATCGATGACCATCAAATATTTTACCGCGTGATAAAATTACAGAGGAAATAAATTAACAATTTCAATGCTTTGCTTCCTGAGTGAAGTCTTTTTAATGACTGAATTTTCCACACATCTGGGTTTTGTAATAGAATGATGTTCTAGACCGCGTGTTGAGAGCGGGTGAGCAAGATGGCGTGAGCCGTTAACTGAGGGTTAACTTCACGTTAACAACCGGCGCATGAGCCGTTACGTGAGCCAGTAAGCATGAGCCGTTACGTGAGCCAGTGAACATGAGCCGTTACGTGAGCCAGTGAGCATGAGCCGTTACGTGAGCCAGTGAGCATGAGCCGTTACGTGAGCCAGTGAGCATGAGCCGTTAAGTGAGCAAGTGAACATGAGCCGTTACGTGAGCAAGTGAACATGAGCCGTTACGTGAGCCTGTGAGCATGGGCCTTTACGTGAGCCAGTAAGCATGAGCCGTTACGTGAGCCAGTAACCATGAGCCGTTACGTGAGTCAGTGAGCATGGGCCGTTACCATGAACGTGCATGTGCAAGGCACTACTGATTTGTTGTAACGCCGCACGGTTGGAGACAAGGTGAAAAAATCTGGCCAGGAAAATTGTTCATGTGAAAATTTTTCTTTATGCTTCATACGATGGCTCTCATATAAGGTATGATTATTTATTGCTGAGCATGATTAGTTGTCATTGTGACCGGCTCATGAAAAATCTTAGTCCTTTTTCACATTTGGAACGTTAAGATCCTACTATATGCCTGAGAATTGTTGACTTCATTTGTGAAAACCAGCATTGATATTTTACGACTGAATGTTTTTACTAAAATCGTATGTAGTACCTCTAGTCCTGTGAGGTTAGTTACACCAACTTGAGTGGTGTTAGTTGTCATGCATTCCTCTCTTGAGGTCATTTGAGTAACATTATCGAGCAAGCTAAAATTATAAATAGTTTGATTGAAAACAATACGTGATTTGGCACCGCTTTTTCACTATAATTTGGTTATAAACTGTTGGGGTACTTATTATGCCTTCAAGAAGACTGAAGAGCCAGGTACTAAATGTATCCCACAACAGTCAGGGTACCAAATGTTTTAACAAAGTGATGTGATGTCGGCGCTGAAGAGTAGGCCTGATGTGGCCTGTCGCCGATTCTTACTTTTCGTTACTTGTTAACAGAAGATCTAAAATCGTGTCATTTTAAAGGATATTTTCAGGACAGACGATAGTTTGAATTAGCTACTAGTCTTCCACCGGGTTGGTATGGTGCTAGGCATTTCAAGTATGAACATGTATTTTTCCATAGCTTTATCTTATCTGGTCTTGAACGCGTTCATACTTGGAGCGCCAACGATGTCATCGGGGAGGCTGTTCCACATGGCGGTGATTCGAAGCGAGAAGAAATGTTGTCGCGTGGAGAAGTTGCAGCGCAGTTTTTTTAGTTTATAGCCGTGGCCCTTGGTGTTGGTTCTTGTTTCAAGTTCTAGTAATCCTTCGGGGACCTTGTATAAACCATGAATATACTTGTATACTTCAATGAGGTCCCCACGCAGACGTCGATAACTGAGGCTTGGAAGCTTCATAATCTTTAATCTTTCTTCACAGGACTTGCCCTTCAAGCCTGGAATTATCCTTGTTGCACGTCTTTGAATATTCTTTATTAAATTTTTGACTTTTTCAAATCTCGGTTTTTGGAATTTTGGCTTCCGGAAAATTTGCTTAACTGAACAAGTGCAGTTGGTTTCTAGGTCTGTGCTTTCGCGTATCCAAGAATATTTGGCTGATGAGTGTTTGGCTTTCCCAGAGATGGGATTTGGTATAAAAAATGGCCGGGAGGCCTGCAGCCAGTCTCCAAGGAGGCCCATGGGTAACCTTATGACCCAGGATCGGTTGGAGCGCTAAGCCGCGTGTCACCGCATTAATCCGGCGGTCCTGCACCCTTTGTTTATTTTATTGGAAGTGCGGCGAGACGTTCCTGCTCCGCTTCGGGAGCCTGAAAAATATTATTCCTGACCTCCGAACTCGGGCACCATACATTACAAATATGTGGGGCTCACGTTGCGCGCCTGCGCAGTCGCTCTGAAGAGATGTAGTGTCTCTGCGCAGTCGCTACGGCGTAATGCAGTGTCTCTGCGCAGTCACAACGGCAAGATGCAGTGTCTCTGCGCAGTCACAACGGCAAGATGCAGTGTCTCTGCGCAGTCACAACGGCAAGATGCAGTGTCTCTGCGAAGTCGCTTCGAAGATGACCCGTCTTAAATCATCGCTATACGAACTTAAAAATATCAATGCTAGAGAAAACCTTAAGCCATCTAAAAACATTAGCAAATCACTTTATTACTTTCTGTTATTTTCTGATAGAATCGCATGATAACATATAACTACCCGTACATACGAACATAAATATGTAAGAATTTATGTGTGTACTTTTTATAATAAAAGTTTTGTTCGTGGTTAATTTCTGGTATAACGCAAATTTCGCTATTCGTTTACAGTTCGTGCAGAAGCTTGCAGTGCTCATGTTTCGAACGATCGAATGTGGAATGTAATTCGAATTATTATCTGGAATCAAAGCCGGCATCAATTACATTTAAAAATTGCGCCTTGTTTCTAATCAACGAGACTGCGTGGCTTTGCGTGTCAGCGTGCGGGATGGAAGTTCAGAAAGCACTGAAGCAAAAATCGGACCAACAAAAAGTCACGTATTCTGCAGTGAGTAAAACTTCTCCTTGAATCACAAAGGTGTTTCACGGGGAGCTCAACAAGATGGCTTGTAATTGTGGCCTTGCGTGGATGCATTGAGATATTCAACTTAAATGATCGCATACAATCTGTTCTTATATAGTTTTGTTGAGGCATAAATGGGAGCAAACAGAAATTTCGCTGACTTGAAACAAACACTTTGATCTGGCGAAGAAATTTAAAAAGACTAGATTTTTTACTACCTGAAACTGTACAAGTGCTGGCGAAACGAATTCGAATTTATATTTCAGTCCGATTTCATATAGAAATATTTCATATTTTCGTATACAGCTACTGTAAATTATATTTAAATCATCATTAATTTTAGTTGAGGTAAATTCATTTCATGCTCTTCTCACAGCATGCAGATGCCGGCTGGAGGAGCGCCTGACCTTCCATTGCAACTTGACACATCGAACGCTGCACGGAGATTGCAACTTTTCAGCAGGCCAATGGACAATCAGGCAAGCGTTTGATGAAGCTTTTGGTCATGGAGGCAATTACAGCCACCGCAGCCATGCAAGGTAAACACAGTTGTTCTTCATGCCAACCACGCCGATAGCGTCACGCATCGCGCCAGTTTTTGCCATAGGTAAACCGAGAAACACTTCATCAACGCTCTATGTTCTCTTACACCGGTATTCCTTGGGGCATTGTTAGCCATTAGAAATAATTTCTTCCTTATCGGATCAACCACGGAACACTTCATCAGCACCCAAAGTTTTTTTATTCGAGCATTTATGCTGGCAGTGCAGGTCATTAGAAAAAACTTCTTCCTTTTCTGTCTAGATTTTTTCCTACGTGATTCAAAAAGAATGCGCTACTCAAAATAAAATCAACTGGAGCAAATAATTTTTGAGATAGAAAAAATTCAATATGAGAAATAGCAAGTCACACAGAAAGTTTTTCTGAATGTTTTTTCAATTTAATTTTATTTAAAATTAAATGTATATACATGCATCATCAAGAAGTTATTGAAAGTATAACATCAGCATAGAAGCCTCTGCCTTGAGTAAAAAGCTTCTTCCGATGGCGTATGGCAAAAATCGCCCTAGAGAGAGACCAAACTGAGCTGAAAAACCAGGATCTAATAGACAAACTTTTTTCTTAATGCATTTGCCATTGTTGACCAGTAGAGTTTGTGCAGGCAGTTGTGAGAAGTATTCAATGTAAGTGCAAAAGGCAGGGTTAGACCAGATCAAGAGACAGGCGCTACCAATCGACAAATGGAGTCTTCTGAAGCCTGATTGAATGGCTGTTCCAATGTAGTGCTCGCTTGCCTTATGTTAAATGATGGCTGTGGGCGACCGTTCTACATAAGTTCTTTTACATCATATAAGCTCTGAGTTTAAAATTTACCAGCCCAAAGCACGTGATTTTTTTAGTCATACTAATAATGAAGTAGAATAAGCAGCATCTTTATAATTTTGGTTAATTATTTAACAATATTATCAGTTTGATTTGTGCTATATTAGCCCTGAAAAAATATGACACCTCGTAGACTAATAAAAAATTATGATTTTCTGACGAAAACATTACGTCATAACCCTGAGCTGCAAACAACGCGCAAACGAGAACCAAAATATTATCAAGTCCTCTTGTATTATGACCAACAAAAACATATTCGTTCTTCCTAATATGCGACCGAATTCTTGAACTTCTTTTAGTAATTTTTTATTTGCATGGCAGCGGCCTTAGCCTTTTATTTGTTCGCGCTGAGAAGTAGCATCAGCTCCACCCACACTGTTGTTAAAAGTATTAAAGTATTTCAATTATATGCACAACTTATTAAATTATTATACCAAAATTATATTATTGTAACAGTTACATAAATTCTAACCATTGATGACCAAGGATAGATAAATGAGACCAATGTACTGAATAAACAAGAACACTGTACTTAAGAAGAAACTTACAATGAGTGAAAACAAAATATTGAAAACAACTTTCTGAAAAATTTAAAGAATTTTCGAAACCTCTATGCGTCACCGAAGGCGTAATTCAATTTCATGAACTAATAAAACAAGAATAGATCATTCCCGCGGCTGTGCCTGATAAGAAGTAGATAAAAAATCATGATTCACTAGGAAAATATTGTAACTGGAGAATATTTTAAAAATTGGGAGCTTCACTTGACTAATGAACATAAATTAACCGGTTGTGTGAATCGGATTGAAAGGAATAACACTATTCATATATTCCCACAATTGGCGATATGCTCAGACTTCATTTTCGACACAAGCGAAAGAAAAAATATCTATTCACGAATACTTAGCACGTGAATGAAAGATTCAGGAGTTATGAATAAACTCAAGATAATTTTATGATGCACATATCGAAACGATAACTCAAGTAGTTAAATAGGTATGTAATACGGAATATGTAAATAAAATAAATGTAATATGTAATAATATGAAGTAGAAGTGCTATGATATTGACATCCAAGGACGTATCTAGTCACTTTATTTCCTCACTGGTATAAAGTAACCAACAATATTCCAAATCAAAAACTGGACCCCAAAACAGTGGTCCCAAACCTGTGATATTCGTTCTAATAAAATCGAACACCACAAACAGCAATTAAGTCGCTACCTGAAAACATTCCCTTGCAAAATATTTATGTAACCTCACGCACCAAGTAATACAGTGTTATGATAGGTAGTGTGTTGTCTGCGTGTTGTTAGTAGTCGTTATAGAGGATTAGGCACCGAGCATTAAACACCTTTGATGCAATAGTAAGAAGAATTGCCTACATCACTGTTACTTCAATCACTCATCATAGACAGAGCAATTTGTACATCAACTAATATTACCATTATTTTATGAGTCATTTATACATTATTATCTGGTCGTCATGATTCCGGATATTCTTTCCTCAGAAACGAACTAATGTTTATATGTTCGAACATAACCATGTCATGTCACCGAATGAGTAGGACATGATTGTGACACGTTGGTTGGTAATGTACATTTTTAGCAAAAACTAAACGCAAATACTGGGAAATTTATGAAGAGAATGTCCATTAAGAAACTTTAGTTTCGATTCAAAACAAACGAATAAAGTTATCGAGTACTTCACACCTAGAGCATCAAAGATTTTGAGAACTATTAGGTCTAAGCGACACACAGAGCTGCTAGCTCCATCAATACAGTGTCCAGATACTTGTCGTCAGGATAGCCGAACTTGGCGTCTTTCACTAAAGTCTTGTGGGAAATACCGCCCCATATGACGCAGTCAGGCTGCAGCGAGGTAGCCGAGTACCCCACGGTAAAGACCAGCCGTCGCTCGAACGCAGTTTTAAGAAGAGCTAACACCTGAACAAAATAAATTTTTGCGAATACCAAATCACGTTAAAATCATTCAGTGAAAGGAATGTGTTTACGTTCTCAATTCATATAGTATATTTTACGTTCTCAATTCATATATCTCAAAAATCAAGTAAAAATGAATTCATAGTTGCTTAGACTTAATAAACCTGAAACATAATAATACTGTTATCGGCAGTGGAATTATCCTCGTGATCCTACGCTGAAATGCTACTTGAATACGTTCACCAAGGAGATAAAAAACGGAACTCTGCTGTAGAACTTATAACTATCAAGATTCTCTTCAAATGTTAGCGACATCTCTTAATTTTAATTACTCTCGTATCACATTCACTGCAACAACCAAACTTACCTCAGTCTATCCACTCGATTCTCTGAGTCGACGTCTGCAAAACTAAGAATCCCGTCTAATCATTAACACGATATTAAATTTTAACTAAAATATTAACGTAATTATAATCCCAAATCCTAGTACCTTATTGCCCTTGTGCGTGTCTGGTAAGTAGGCTTTCCGAGGGAAGCCATTGAGGTGGTAAGGCTGCCCAGGATGAGGATGCTCTGGCCCTTGAACTCCTTCAGGAATCCTGCTCACATCACAGGACGTCAGGAACGCATAAGCTGATGAGCCCACCTCAGATCAGTAGCATGGATACCGACAACACGCATCATCAAAGAGTGTACTGCAAAATCTCATCCCAGGAACTGGCAAATAATTATCAATAATGCACTGGTAATGCTACTAAAAATTTACTTCCACGTGTTACATCCTAAACTCCTTAATAATTGTTGAATAGTTGATTAAATTACTTTATTTGAACCATGAAACGCCTCCTCATAAACCTGTGGTCATATTTTGCGTGTTTATTCTTGTGTATAAATTCCTGGAATTAATCATCAGCTTGAGAGATCAAAACAATGTAATTATTCATCGCACGGAGACAGCCGATGTGAAAACAGCTTTGTAAGCAACGCACTTAGTCTTTACGCTGTGTAATTAGTTTGTTATTTTACAGCCATCTTCCTTAAACAAAATCAGAAGCACTACATGATATCAAAATAGGCGGCTAGTAGTTGAATATTTTACGCAAGTTTTGTCGAAGACCACACGGAAATTAGTGGTAACAATTTTCTTATTGCTGCGACGTATTTTTAACCTTTTTCTTTTTGTTTGGTGAAATGTACCTTGCCGAGATAACTGAATGTCATAGAGCCATTCTCTGGTAACTTCGGTAAAAGAAGCATACCGCAGGTACGAGTCACTATTACATTTGTGAAGTGTCACATTGCATAATGCATATGTGTCCCAAACGCAACAAAGCCTTTGGGTTCTTTCTCGTATTGTGATTGATTTCCAGGGAGTCCAAAGGTCACGGTCCGTTGTTTATTGAGAGATCATGTGGATGCGAACAAAATTATTTGACCAATATTTAATACTCGCAGTTGGAAATACGTTCCCAATCCTGTTGAGACTTGATTGATGCATTTCTCATTTATGGATCCATTTCGCTTACGCTTCTTCACACTCGCTTGAGATTCTATTTGCTTGGAACAGGAATTTGTTTTTTGTAGAAACAGGTTTCAGTTTGTGGATTTTCATTTGATTTTTGTATTTCAGAAAGAATTTCTCTTCATTTTATTTACCAAGGAAAGAATCAATGGCACATTCATGATATAGGTATGAGATTAGAATCCAGCTCATTTAACTTGTCCTGCCAACACATGCACTACGTTTACTAGTTCCACAACGAGGTCCATGAGATCTGTTTTCTTTAAGAAAACAAAGCCTTTCGGGATTTTGGTGTGGCTTCAATGAACTTCCGTCGTTTTATTCCATGACGCCACCGCAAGAATTATTCTTTGCATTATATGTAAAAGCAGGTATAATTAATTAATAAATTAATAGTCGCCTCGGAATCCGGTCACACTGAGAAAATGTCTCCTCGAGTCTGATCATATTTAGGAATATTTAGCTCTTGGCCAAGTTTCAATATATCATAGTGACTCGTGACTTCAAGTTCATCTCATTTAATTATATAGGAAGTCAGAATATATTTGCTTCATTCAGTGTCATTTGAGATACAGAGAAGACCTAGCCTCAGAGAGGTGAAAGTGATGCACCGATGCACCACATACACATGCGGAGTATAAATATGACGACATTGGAGTGCCTTGTGCACCGCTCAGCGGTAAACGCTTGCATGTGCGCCGCTCAGCGGTAAACGCTTGCCTGTGCACCGCTCAGCGGTAAACGCTTACTTGCGAAAAGACTCTGATTTTGAGTTTAACTGGCTTTGGAAAACTTTGGTTAAACCCACACTTACAAAATAAACCAAAAATGTAAATGAGTTTAACTACTGTTTTTTCACGAAGATTTCCAGCGTTGTCGATTGCGTCGTGCAGCCAAAGAAGCACTAAAAATTTCTACGATTTCGGACCTGTGCCATCCTGCCACTAGCAGAAGTATTCACCGCCATTCAGCATATTAAAATGTATAATTACTAGGAAAATGAATTAGTCGTTGTCCAAAAAATGGCACTTATTTACCAGGGGCCATACTTTCAAAACGCGCTAAGTGAACGTAAGTACTTACGCTCTATTTTCTTGCCTATGACTGATGGATTTTGCTTGAGAGGCCGTCAATGATTGGCTGAAGAACTTACGATCTCTTAACTTTTTTTGAAAGTATGGCCCCAGAAGCCCGAGCAGAGAGATGTGACACATCATGATAAGCATATTTACCGGGCCTAAATGGGTCAGGATGACCCACACGAGGACTAAACGTGCATGGACCACTCATTTGGACAATGAGCCTCTCATTTCTCTGAATGATATTTAGTTCAACACACAAATTATTCATAAGTACTGACCTTCAAAAATAGGATTTATGTTTCCTACATAAACATAAATAAACATAAATCCTACTTCGAAAGTAGGATTTATGTTTTTCTCACTCATATAATATGACGATGGTGTCCGAGGACGGGAACCCTGGGAGGCTAAAGTTCTCGACTCTGCTGCTCATGCGCCCCCCGACAGGCTGCGTGCCCGTGACAGCGCCGTGCAGCGTCCGGCAGACCGGACAACTGAAGCTCTGCGCCGCCGTCAGCAGCAGCGGCAGTAGACAGCAGCAGTGGAAGCAGTGGCCGCAGTTAGCCAGCATCACTGCACCAACCAGGCCACGTGATGTGCCTGCAGTGATAAACACATCTGATGCAGTGGCCGCAGTTAGCCAGCATCACTGCACCGGAATTACTTGAAGAAACAACCAAATACAAGAAAAATGAGTATAATAATAACCAAAAGACGCCGAACAAAGCCAGCTTATAAAAAAGAAAGTCGACAGCGTAAAAATGCTCGAGACCAACACATCACTTTTCAAGCGCTGGCGTTCAGACAATCAACTTAGACAACATATAGACCACGATATTAATCATTATTTTCTACCACTAAATTAGGTACGGAAAGCGTCATGCATTAGCTACTTGCGCGGTCTTGCTGGGGCGACGCCTCACTGAGGCCGCCCAGACACACGGGGCACTTGGCGAGCTCTTCTCCGAGGTACGGCGAGACCTCCAGCTCCTGGGAACTGGCGGCCAGCAGCTGTAAATAATCAACATTAAAATAACACAGTCATCCTGGCAAACGCTTCAGCTCCAAATTTAGAGTAACTAACACGTATGTAATGGAGGAATCTGAGCAAAACCTTCAAGTTTTTTCATATCAAAAGCAGCTAGCAAATAAATATTGAATGTGTGAAAAATATCATATATACATAACTACAATATAACAAGCTCATTTGGTTATGAAATGGGAAAATTAATCAATTATAGACAAATTACCTTCTAAGTATTCAGAATTTCTAAAAATATGGATTTCAGAGCATACCTACACTTACCTTTTCAGCAGCAGTAGATGGTTGTTTCCGAAATATCTGCTGGTAAGCTACAAAGTTTTTGTGGGTGGATTCACCGTACGATGAATCGTTGGACGTTTCTTCATACGTCCGAGGTGATGAAGTGGCGCCCAAGAAAGAACCTCGGGAGGTCGTTGAACAGACGTCAGGACCTGACTGATTCATGATGAACTCAAATTCTTTTTTCGATAACATCAAGCCACCTATATCGTAGATGTCATTTCCAAGTTTCTTCACGTCACCCAACGTGTGAACCAAGTCTTCACGAACATCAAGACCCAGGCTTGATTCACCGGCAGACATGTCAACTTTCTGTGATGCGATAGCGGGTCGTTCGTTGTAACTTTCTTTCGGAGGATTGTGCCGCTTTCGTGACGGTGCAATATCAGTTGCACTTGGTTGTCGTGACGCTAAGTTCACCTGCGGTTGTGGCTTGCATTGAGGTAATGAGTTTTCAAGTAAAAAATCGAGTTCTTCTTGAGTGTACTCAACACCGTTGAGCAAGAACAGCCCATTCTCAAGTTGGGAGTACTCAGAATTAGAAGGTTCAACGTTTGCTGCCGGCTTGAAACAAGCCTTCGACTTTGACCGAGCTCCTGACTCATTTATTGAAATCTGAAACGACTCCTCGAAACCCTGGGATCGAGATGATAAAGAGGCATTTGAATGGTTATCTTTTCCTGCAAATGCGCGAGTTCTGTAGAGTTTCGTCTTTTCGACATCGCTTCTTTCGGACGATGGCACTGATGGTTCGTGATTGCTTCTCTGGAAGTTTTGGCTATGTCCATCTCCAGCTGAGGCGTATCTACGATTGACGGGATTAGATGGACCTTCTCCCTCTCTACTGCTCGATCGACGTAATGAGAAACTATTATTGTCAATAGTCACTGATGCCTTTATTCCCAAGGTTCGCATATTCACGTCGATTTCCGTTCGAACTCTAGATTTGGAATCCTCTTTTTCAAAATTGTTCGACCGACCGAACCGGCCATTCTCGTCTCCCGACAACTTGTCATTATTACCGTTACTCATGATTCTGAAACTTAAGCAAGTGAGAAGTAGAAATGTGCTCTTTACAAACTAATGTTACTAAACGATCTTAATGAGCTAAACATGAACTAAACATCAAGCCGTAACGTAACATGCAGAACTGACGTGCCTCGTATAATATGATTAGGTCACGTATCACGATAACGTGGCAGCACCAAACGACTGGGACTATCACTGTCAGAAACGAACTCGAGAATCGTAACTGTGGTTTTTTAATACGAGTTTAACGTCATTATACTATCATGTGACAGCGGCGACAAATGTTTCAATTAAGACTCTGCGGCGCAAAGGAAAACATTGCAACGAAATATGAATTGATAGTTGCATAACATGCATTGTTTGTATCCGCTTAATTCATATTGATTTTTCCATTTGTCTTACAAAAAGTTAAAAAAATCTTCGTCAAATAGGTTATGAAATTAAATCTAGCTTGCAATGCATTACAGCTACCGTCAGTGCCACAAAAGTCGCCACTTTCAGAAGACCCGCTAGAATAAATAAAATATCGAAACATCAAGAGGCTAAAAATCAAATGTAACACTTGTGCAGGGTTGACTCATGTTTAAACTTCGTGAAAAAATTCACTACATTTTTTATTGCTCGATCATATAATAAAATGGAAGTTTCTTAGATTCGTCGAAAGTGGCGAGGTATATACCGTACACTACCTACTTTTAATGTCGCCAGCGATATTGGTGACTGTCACACAAGTTTCCATAGCCGTACGCACTACGCGGTTATTGAGTCTTTGCGTGAATACCGCTTACGGGAGGTACAGTAGAGAAAAAAAAACTCGAATTCACGCGGAACCAATCCTCCAACATACGTCTTTGTTTATCAAATTAACACAAAATTTTTAAATATTGCTTTTGTTCGAAAATAAACATAAACCCAAGGAATAAATCTTTCTCCTAGCTACTATAATTACGTGGGTTCCAACTAAGATTAAAATTCGTGATTAGTGCAAACTTTTTTTTCACTGTATCGATTGTGCGAGGACTATTCATTCGAACCTCCATTCACCTGGATTCTACTTAATCGAAAAACGCGCTTTAGGAATGAGCAATTCCGTTTAAAAAAATTAGTCTGTTGCCGAGTACACTAGCCAAGCCAGTAATTTGAGCAAAATTCACGAATTTCTTTGTATGCAGCGTGAAGAATTTTTTTTGAACCAGAAATAAATATAATGGTATTATTGCAGATTAACTACATCCAAAAAAAGGGTGTTTTTTTTAAATTATATGTTTTTTGGGGTGTAGATTACGAATCTGAAATCCATTTTTGGCGGTCGGCATCGGAAAACCGATTTTTTTCGCGACTTACTAACATGGGGGTTACGTAACTTACGTTACCCACTAAAAAAATCGGTTTTCCGACGCCGACCGCCAAAAATGGATTTCAGATTCGTAATCTACACCCCAAAAAACATATAATTAAAAAAAAAAACACCCTTTTTTTTGGATGTAGTTAATCTGCAATAATACCAATATAATTCCCAATTCTACTGTATCTCTTACTCAGCGGCCAAAAGAAAAAGCGCACTGCACCGCAAATAAGAAATCTTGACCGCAGAAATTCTGGTGTAGGTAGAGTTCTCATGAAGTCATGAGTCTCATGACGCACGCTTTAGGCTAAACTAGGAGAATTGCGCCACGCGCCGACGCGCGGCGACCTTAGATTTTTTCTTCGACGGGAAAAGATAGGTACTCGCTAAATCCGAATATAATCTAAATTTAGCGAGTTTAGCAATTTAGCCAATTTATCACGTTTAATGACATATAGTGCACTCGCCACTCTCCAACAAAATACAACTAATTTCGCCAATATATCAGAGAAGTTTGTCTTGAAAATTTTTTCTAAACGACAGCTCACAGAAAATGACTTATAATAGGGCGAGGTAAAGAAAGTCTTGAGTATCATACGGAAACACGTTTTTATGTGTTTATAGTAGGAAAAAAAAAAGAACCAGTACACATGTAGGGCCAACTGTCATCCGAACACTACTGAAACTGGGCTCGATTACTTTGAGGTCATGCCACCAATTCAATACGAAATGTACTTGATAAAATGATAACGCAAAAAATCATTTACTTGTTTCAATATTACGGAGACATTCTTATTATTACTCGGGCTGATATTTTCATGACAATTCCAAACGAGTAAAATTTATCAGCAACGAGTAAATTTACTCGAGGAACACTCAACTTGGTTTCTACTTTAAACATGTGTTTGGTGAAAAGGAAAAATTGAATGAGATTCACTGAAGTCTTTCGTGCTGTACGGCTGGCAGTACGCTACTTCACAAACGTTTGCCTGCTTGCAACTGAGAATCTGACTTTATCTCCCAGAGTTCTCGAGGCAAAGTTACCCAGGAACGAGTTTCAAACGACTAAAATCATCGATTGAACGATCAATTCATATCCTCATGTTTTTTCAGTTACCCTTGCCAATTCGACCATGTAGGTGAATTTTATTTGTGACAAATGAATAGTAATAAAAATATAAACGATACCTTTAATATTTTTATTTACTTCGTAATGAACCCACCGCAGATTCAAGGGAATAAGCTTTTCGCAAAGGAACTATTTCTTAGACGAGGAAAGTTATTGCCTCCAGTTCAAGAAATGAGGGGATAATTTCAGTCGTACCTTTCAAAATTTTACTTAAGTTTGTATAAAAATTATACGATACATCACATCATTGCTTAGCAACGAAAAAAAAAAGATCGCCGTTGACGTCGCGCTTCGTAGATTGTTCGATGCAGCGCGTCATCAACCCGATAAATGCAACTCTCGAGCTGCAATTTTTTTGTCGTGGGGCAAATTAAAAAATATTTTTGCAAAGGAATTCTTTGTCACTGAATACCTAAAATTGTTTTTTTACACTGAAGTCTAAAATAGACACAATAATAAACTGTTATAGAGATGTCAGCATAGAGCCACTTGAATATATTAGCCTTGAAGTAAATTAAACACACTCAAAGTTCGGCGAACCCCTTATTGAACTAATATGTATATTATTTTAACCAAGGGTATACCAACCGCTTCGTGTACCTACTTCTAACATACTGAACGACATCAAAAGCGCGTTCCTCATCCGAACACATTATCTTATCACTCCACAACAAAAATATTATACAATGATAGAATATCTTATTACAGCTGTCACGGCAATCACAGTAGCTAAACAGGCAATAAAATAATGTCATGTATATAAGTGTTTGCAATTTTGAATGTGGCTTTGTTTCCTCCCTGCCCTTTATCTTTACCGTCTTCATTTATCAATAAAGTTGATAATACGACTCACATTCTAGCTTAGTTAAGTTTGCTAGATTGACTGGCATGGAGTATGAGAAGGTAAAGGTAGAACTACGTAGAGTCCTAGACCAATCACCGCGACGCGCACAGTAGTTATCAAATATCAATATCAATTAATCTCTGCAACAACCCAACAACCATGAAAACCCATCTATGATTTACTACTATCACTACGAAATAAAGAACATATATGCATATAGATTTGGCTTCAAAGACTCAATAGAAACTCATTAAATAATTTTTATTCAATGGAAGTAAATTTTGGAAGTAGGGCAACATGGGGCAGCGCCCCCCCTTTTTTAAACTAATTTTTCATGAAGTTTTAACTGATACGAGGTGGTTCTTTGTTTTGTTTAAAGGTACAACTAATGAGGAATGTATGATGCGAATTAGACTCCTATAGAGTTATTCAATTTTTAATGAAACACTATTTTGTAAAAAGTCTCAAAATGGGCCCATTGCCCCACCCCTGGGGCAATGGGCCCATGGGCTTGGGGCAAGGCGCCCACCCTTGGTCCCTTTACCACAATTGCATATATTTTCGTTTAAAAATGATAAAACAATACTTTACAGTTAAAAATAAGAAAAATGTATTAAAAATATGACATTCACTCATTTATTAACAACTCAAAAAATAATATCCTTAGCTTGAAAAAAATATACTCTTGGCTTAAAAAATCTATCACTGACGTGAAGAAAAATATTTCATTGACATAAAAAATGTATATCTTTGACTTGAAAAATATATCCTTGCGATTAAAAATTCGTCCTTGACATGAAAAAATGTATCCTTGACTAGAAAAAATATATTTAGTTGATCAGAGAAAAACTTCGTTCCAGTTTTGTCCATAATCCAGATATTATGGGCAGGGTGGCCCAGTGGTTATGGGCAGGGTGGCCCAGTGGTTATGGGCAGGGTGGCCCAGTGGTTATGGGCAGGGTGGCCCAGTGGTTATGGGCAGGGTGGCCCAGTGGCTATGGGCAGGGTGGCCCAGTGGTTAAAGTTCAGAGTACCAAGATTGGAGCAGAGAGGCGCTGGTTCGATCCCAGCTCTGTGCGCCAGTTTCTGGTCAGAATCGGCAAGGAGGCCGGGCGGTTAAGCACAGCAGAATTGTAGCAGTGAGTTGTGAGTTCGAGACCGCAAAATGCTGTGAATGTTCTGCGATGTTAAGAATCGGCGACAGGCCTACGGCCTAATAAACACTGAAACCGTTATTATTATGATTTATTATTATTATTATGTGCAGAGATTTCGTACCTAATCGTGGTTTCAGCCAACACCATAAAAACTCATCAACTTTTGGCTCATTGGTGTTGACTGAAATCAACTTTTGGCAATGCAAGAGTCAAAAACTCGATAAGGGGTCATAAATACGCATAACTAGAAACTAAACCTGCTGCCTCGAGGCGGCAAATCAAAAAATCATGCAATATGAAGTGTAATTTTTAATTCAAAAAGCTAGTCATAGTTTTGAAAAGGTCATTGAGACAAATCTAATGATGTATAAGTAACACAAGACTTCACCATGGGCGCTTTGCCCCGTGACACGCGTGGGCCCGTTGCCCCCACTAGGTATCATTTCAATTTATATCGTGTCAATAATTTATTTTAAACGCTAATAGTAATAGTCTAAACTTGATCCCAAAATTATCCCTATAAATATAACTTTCAAAGTATAATTCACAGTAATTTCAAAAGCTTCATCTACAGTAATCGAAAACAATTTTATTTAGCAGCAAACAAAACTTTTTCTGGGCTAAAACAGTTATCCACAAATAACTTAATAACGCAAACACTTAGCAAAACGTAAAGCCGTATACTTCATCCCAGTGAAACTGTCGACCGGCGGTAGAGAACACGGACCAATATCTGCCATACTTAGCGAGAAACCCGCTATGGGCCCATGACCCGCAGTGGGCTCGCTGCCCCATGTTACCCTACTCATGGTGATAGTGATACATGTGAAAATTGTTAATTAAGAGTTTGTCCAAAATTACGAACTAACCATAACTATGAACGGAGTAAGTAACCTTATTTCACACATATGACTCTATGACTTTACAGCAAACTTTATGCATAACAAATCGCCTGGCTTCCATGTAGAACGTCTGGTTGACTGGGCTGATATTTGGCAGCTGCGTTTTAACGCTGACAAATGTAAAGTAATCCACCTTGGCAAGAATAATGAAAAGCAAGATTACAGTATGAGAAGACACGGTTGCAACGACAGCGTGATGATGTCGAAGTCGACAACGGAAAAAGATTTAGGAGTTAATATCGACAATGAGTTGAATTTTTCTAAGCATATTGAAGGTCAACTGATCAGACGCTCTTTTGAGTTCCTAGATGCAGAAGCGATGAAGCAATTGTTTGTTCGTGTAAGCCTCAGTTATCGACGTGTGCGTGGGGACCTCATTGAAGCATACACGTATACTCATGGCTTATACCATTTCCCAGAAGGATTACTAGAATTTAAAACATGAACCAACACTAGGGGCCACGGCTATGAACTAAAAAATCTAACTCGGTACTCACTGCAGTGAGTGACAGAAAGCGCATTTTCTCGTCGACGAAAACTTGAGGTCACGGACGGACGGACAGACAGACGGACTTGGCGAGCACGGAAGAGCACAATAGTGCGTTTATTCCATAAATGAGAAAATGCGCTAAAAAGTGCGTTGTAACACATCCATGCGACAAAATTTATTCTCACTTCGAGTCACCGACATGTGGTGGAACAGCCTCCCACTCCGAGTATGAACGCCCGAGTATGCACCGTTGCTCGAATTAGAACTTGCGCGCAACAGCCTGCGACCACTTGGCTTTGTCCACCTCCGGCCTCGCATAAAACCTGCCGTGCACCACCTGGCCGTCGGTCGAAAGAGCCGTGCGACTGGCTGAGTCAGGTTAGGTTAGGTTAGGTTAGGTTGGGTTAGCACTCGGCTGGAGCGTTCGACCCGCTGGCGTTCGACCGAGGGCTGGTTCGACGCACTGCCTAGATACGGACGGCTTGGTGGCGGATATCACATTATCCTGAGGGCTGATTGGTCTAATTCAATTGATTCGTTCTGTCTGGTGGCTTTCGGCTGCCTATATGATTTTCCAGAAGTGTTGAAGGCTACGTTCCGGAGGGCAGGAGTCATGATAGTCCATTACATCCAGGGCAGTGGTGGTCTTCGGCAGGCTTCCCCTATTTCTTCAATGCCGACACTTCTATTCTATTCTAAGTGCCGTGAGGCTACTTTCTCACCTTCATGGCGACAAAATCACGAATTTTCAAATACTGGTTATACAGTATATCGGTCTCATCGGGACGCCTGCCGAAGACCACCACTGCCCTGGATGTAATGGACTATCGTGACTCCTGCCCTCCGGAACGTAGCCTTCAACACTTCTAGACAATCATATAGGCAGCCGAAAGCCACCAGACAGAACGAATCAATTGAATTAGACCAATCAACACTCGGGAGAAACAGCCGGCGATCGAATGGCCTAGCATCGTCCGCCGTACCGTGAAAAATTCTGCACCACTCGGACGTAGCGCGCCGGAGCCTTGCAGCGAATGTGATATCCGCCACCAAGCCGTCCGTATCTAGGCCGTGCGTCGAACCAGCCATCGGTCGAACGCCCGCGGGTCGAACTCTCCAACCGCGTGCTAACCCAACCCAACCTAACCTAACCTTACCTTACCCAGCCAGTCGCACTGCTCTTTCGACCGACGGCCTGGTGGTGCACGGCAGGTTTTATGCAAGGCCGGAGGAGGGCAAAGCCAAGTGGTCGCAGGCTGTTACGCGCTAGTTCCAGTTCAAGCGGTGGCCAGGGTATGAAATGATGCTTCGACGCAACGTTCAGTGGTGGACGGCCATTCGACTCTAGGCTATTCGACTTCGTGTCTGAGGGGTTGTAGAGCTCAAAATATTCAAAGCAGAAGGATGTCAAGGATCGGTTAAGGATAGCAGGTTCCATTCACGGCTGATTGGTGGATGTCCGGAGAGATCCAAGGCGTTCGATTCAGGGTTTATTGGTGTTCAAAATTTGTGGTGCACGGCTGCGTTCCCGTCTCATTCACCTACTGCATATTATTATGTCTGCCCCCAAATAAATTTTTTGTAAAAAACGTGAATCCAAAATTGTTCGAGATATAATCTGTGTCTACCACATGTCTACAACAAGGCGTCTTGCTACACGAGCTGGCTTATAGGCAAACGCGGTTGTAACATTCATAAACTTCGTGAACTTTGGTCCAGCAGCTCAGCGTTGCCAGATGGTATATTTCTATACCAGATTTAACAAATCTGGTATTTTCAGAAGGTGTCTGGTATGAACATTTTAGATCTGGTATATTTGCCTAAATCTGGTATTTTCTGACTTACTGCAAATGTGACAAGTGTCCGGTACTAGTTGATGACACTTTCCTGCCTGGAGTGCTCTGGCTTGTGGCTGGGCCCAAGCTTTCTCCTGTTGCCCCCAACTAATGACTGAGATCAGGCTGGGCAGTGCATTAGCACTCGAAGCCTTCAAATTCAAATCATCATCATCATCTAAAGGTGTGCGTGCTGAGCTGCTCCGAGCACGATAGTTTGGTCATTAGTGTCAAGATTTTCTATTCAATTTAACTCTGTTAATTTCTCACTGTCTACAAAATGTCTCGTATGAAAGAGAATTTTAATCAGAAGCCTTGCGTCATTAACTGTGTTCAGCTAGAAGGGTTGGTGAGTAAGGGGCGCCCTTAGCCTAGGTACTTTAGAATTTAAGAATGTACTAATTTGTAGGACTAATTTATTTACTAAATAAAGCAAGGCTTTGCTAATCGGACTTACTAGAGTGCAAAGGCCTAATTATGATTCAGATTCTTGTATTCATAATTTCATTAATGTTTTTTCGTGGTGTAGGTACCTATGTTAGCTATGTATGAGTTAAATCCAATTTTGCCCCTGCTACTGGGTGCTTTTAATGTGAAAATTATACCATTGCACTCTACTCTCTAGTTTAATGTGGAAATTCAGCCAGAACTCCCAGAAGCTGGCAGTGAATGAAATGAAGACACCTGCCATCACCATGCTCATCATGGGTAAATTCACCAAATCCTATGGTGGCATGGCCTTCAAATTCTTACAATAGGTACTCAATGAGTCAATAGGCAATTGGTAGGTAGCAAAAATTTTGAAAAATTGTACATTTACTTGTGTTTTTTTTTTTAAATCAACAATTGAATAGGGTAAATGCGGTATATTCCAACATCGTGGGTAATTCCGTCACCTCTAGTTTCCGTAATTCCGTAATTAAGTAATTAATTAAGTAATTCCGTCACATTAAGGACGCATCGAGAAATGAAAAACTATAAAAAAATAACCGTATGCGTTACTTGAGTTCTGTTTGCTTTATTTGACTCGCAAAACACCGTACTACGCGCCAGCAACAACGAAACGTCACAAAATGTTGCCATATTTATTTAAAAGCCTTTAGAATGGAAACCTACCAATTGGCGGCAAATCCCTATATTCTGTCACTGTGTGTGGCAATATTCAGCACGCGGTGAGGCGTATTACGCATAGTGGCAAAGCAGAGAGTTTTTTAGACTCTCCCTCAAGTTCATTTTTGAGTCCTATTGGTAGACCTGTAAAGTATCCTGGATACCAGCATTATTATACATAAGAAATTGGTTTAAATCTTGAGTAAATGAGGAAATTAAAAATGAACTGATTCTAAAAAAGCCCTGGTTTGCCACTATGTTATTACGTGTGTGAGCTGTATTGGAATACAACACAGCTTTCAATTAGAACACTAATGAATATTGAACACTACTTAATTACGCTTTCAATTAACAACTATTAAGCTTTTAATTAAGCAAATTTTGATTTTTGTACACAGCTTGGAACGATCTGTGTGTGTCCCACTATGCAGAGGGTGGATGCAGCATCGGCAATATATGGATTTTTAAGCCCAAAGCGTCGCCGGCCATTTTAAAGATGCGTTGCCGGGTAATTTTTAATGAAAAGCCATTTACGCTGAGTAATGACGAACTATTTACAAGCCACAAACTTGTTACAAGGTTGCATGCACGTGTTACCCCAAATAACTAATTTTACCCTAAAAACAGTCCGGTTGTACAGCAAGTGTCAACTGAAGAAGTAATAAAGCAGTCTGACCGCTCTAATGCGACCGAAACTACGCAATCGAAAAAATGTTGTTTACATTTTTTGCGGGAACTCATCGCAACTGATTTCCGGACAAGCTTCGCTGCATCGTAATCC